GTGGAACCAAGTAATACGAAATCTTTAACAACTTCAATCTTTCCTCCATTTATCATGATGGTGCTTACTGGTCCGGTTGTGAGGATTTTCATTTTCTTTGTGTTGAGATGTAATCCATACTGCAGAATGAAGTCTTCAATAATCTTCATCAGTAAGTGCTTCAAGTCATCCTCACTTTTAGCAAGCAAAGTTGTGTCACCTGTGTATTGCAGGTTGTTATTGAGTCTTCCCCCAACACTGATACTGTTCATCTTCATATAGTCCTGCTTCTCGGATTATTTGTTTGGTATACAGATTGAATAAGTGGTGAAAGGATGTACTCCCTTCCTGTATCCCCGTGTTCTGTTCAAATAACAGTCTCTTGTTCTATGTACAGGTTCCTGATGAGCACAATCAAGTGTTCTGGAATTCCCATTCTTCTCAATGTTATCCATAATTTGTTATGATCCACACAACCAAATGCTTTCCATAATAAACATCTTTCCAGTATCCTTTGCTTTCAGCAGAGATGTTTAGCTATGTTTTATTGACTATGCAAAGGCATTCAACTATGGATCATAAAAATTAAGGATAAAATTGCAAAAAAACAGAAATTCCAGAATACTTAATTGTGTTCATGGAGAACTTGTACATAGACCAAGAGCCAGTTATTCAAACAGGCACTGCATGGTTTGGGATTAGAAGGGATACGTGTCAGGGTTATATCCTTTCACCATACTTATTCAATCTATATGCTGAGCAAATAATCCAAGATGCTGGACTGTACACAGAAGAACATAGCCCAGCATTGGAGGAAGACTCACTAACACCACAGATGATACAACAGATGATACACAGATGATACAACCTTGCTCAAAGAAAGCAAGGAGGACTTGACGCACTTACTGATGAAGATTAAAGACTACAGGTTTAAATATAGATTGAACATCAAAACAGAAAACAAAATCCTATAATTGGACAAATAAGCAACATCATGACAAACAGAAAAAAAACTGAAGTTGTCAAGGATTTCATTTTACTTGGACCCATATTCAACATCCATGGAAGAAGCAGTCAAGAAATCAAATGACGTATTACAATTGGACTAATTTGCTCCAAAAGACTTCTTTAAAGTGTTTAAAAGCAAAGATGTCACTTTGAGGACTAAGGTATCCCAGACCAAAGTCGTGGTATTTTCAATTGCCTCATACACATGCTACTACTGAACAATGAATAAGGAAGACTGAAAAGTTGATGCGTTTGAATTATGCAACTGGAGAAAATATGAAATATGCTGTGGACTTCCAGAAGAATGGAAAAAATCTATCTTGGAAGAAGTACAGCCAGAATGCTCCTTAGAAGCGAGGATGGCAAGACTTCATATCATGTACTTCGGACAGGTTATCAGGAAGAACTAGTCCCTGTAGTAGGATGATGCTTGGTAAAGCAGAGAGTGAGCAAAAAAAACAAAGACCTTGAATGAGATGGATTGATAAAGTGGCTGCAACAATAGGCTCAAATATAGCAATGATTGTGAGTATGGCATAGGATCAGGAGGTATTTTTTCCTGCTGTACATGGGCTTAATATGAGTCGGCATAGACTCGACATCACCTAACAACAACAAAAAAATTAATCATTCCCTTTTTGAACTTGCCTTTCCTGAAAAATGTCTTTTATTAATAACTTACTTAATTCTCTTCGTATAATTTATAAACTATCTCCTCAGAACATTAAACCTTATATAGTATGTCATCTAAGGAGGCAGAAATAACAAAACGGGATGCAACGGTGACAATGGAAGCTTATTATGGAGCAAAGGCAGTGTCTAAGAAAAAATGAGAACCCACTTAATACAACTGATAACCCCCATGAGAGTTGCTTCTTTGAGCATAGGAAGTGCACTGCAATTGTAAAGAAATATGCCATTGGGAAGTTCTTAAAACACATACATTTTCCTCCTCCTTGTAAAACCAATCTGTATCAGCACAGGACACCATTAGCTTTTCATCTCTGCCAGTGACCAATTAGGCAGTGGGGGTAAGAGTGAAGGAGTGTAAGTTTAACTCAGGGAAAGAATATTTGCAAGCTCATGTGGTCAAAGCCTAAGGCTTGTTCTCTAACTACCTTATCAGTCAGTAATAAAACCAGTATACTAATATAAAAGAAAGAGAATGAAAGAAATTAACCAACTGCTGTCAAGTCAGATTCGACACATAGCAACTCCTCCTTGGGTTTCCAAGGCAGTATCACTATGGAAGTAGATTGTCCAACATTCCTTCCAAGGAGTGGCTGGTGGGTTTCAACCGCCAACCTTCTGGTTAGCAGTCAAATGCCTTAGGCACTATGCCACCAGAGCTCCCAAAGAAAGAAGGAAATTTCATGAATCAAATATATGTATAAACTAAAAAGGAAATGTAGCTTAAATTTAGTTCTGTTTCTAGAACTCTGAATAAATGTATACTTAGACTGCATCTATTTACTAAACTTTGAATAGAATATATTTGCAAATATTTGTAACAGCAAAAACACTCAACCAATTTTACAAAAACAATGGGTGCATATAAAATCATTTCCACTAGATGGAGCTCTAAGCTTACTAACGCTATTTTTCATTTGTTAATGAAAAGCAATAGGCTGATTAAAATTAATTTTTCTTAATAGAAATTATCTTTTTGTCTATGCTCTGCCTCCACATTTTAAAATAAAAGATTTCCAAAAAGTAAAGTTTAAAAACTAAGTTTCCCTGTAAAATATATTCAGCCTCTGATGAGTCTGAACTGAGTCAATGGCTACTAACAACAAATCACTCAAGACTGCTGGACACCCAAAAGGCCAGGTTAGTCTGCAGATCATCATAAATGCTAATTCCAGTCAAATGACTACTCCTGCTTGCATCGCCATTTTAAAGCATAGTCTGAGGATTAATCTAGTTTAATCTGAACAGTATTACTAAATACTTGCAAATTAATAGGCAAGTTACTTGTCCTCACTAAGCCCATTTCCTCAACTATAAAACAGCATAAGGATAGATATCATGAAGGATACTCAAGAGTAAATAAATAAGAGAAGAAAAGAGTATGTGTGTGTGTGTGTGTGCATGCATGAGTGCACACATAACATACACATATAGGATGTTGTTATGTGCTATCAAGTTGACTGTAACACAGTGACTCCAAATGACAAAGTAGAACTGTCCCATAATACTTCCTAGACTGTAATTTTTTGGGGGGCCAACTATCAGGTCTTCTATCATGTGGAGCCACTAGGTGGGTCTGACTTTTCAGTTACCAGCCAAGTGCTTCACCACTGCACCACCAGGACTTCTGAGAGAGAGAGAGAGAAAGAGAGGGAGGGAGGAAAGGAGGAGGAGAGACAGAAGGGGACAGATGGGCAGGAAGCAAGAGGGCAAGAGGGAGCAGGAGAGAGGGAGAGGGGGAAGGAGTGGGAGCGAGAGCACATGCCCATGCATTTGGGAGCCATGATGCACTCCATGTTATTATTTTTGAAAGAAAACTTAACAGAGATAATGCTACAACACTCAGGATGCATGATACACGAGATTGGGTGCTACTGCTTAGGAGTTGAAGCACTAACTGTTACAAAATAAACTTCTTATTTGTAAGTAGGCAAAGCTCCTATTAAAATAACAAAAATTACAGTACATTACATATATAAGCTAGTAACACAGATGTTTATTATGACTATCAAAGCATATGCATTATAGATTATATATGTACTGTACCATCATACATCTGGCAGCACAATCGCTTTATACACAAGAGACATGAGATACACACATTGCTTGCAGGAAGCTGTTGCAGTAACTACTTCAGGTTACAACCACAACGTCCCATTCTCTGATCAGGATTTCTGAACTCTATTATAACCTTATGGGACCACAGAAGTATACGTGATCAGATGCTGCAAAAATGGACTTTATGCAGCATATGACTGTACAGCATCTAGTACACAACAGGTGCATTTTATGCTAATTATTTTCTCTTCCCCTTTCTGCTTTTCATTTTACCAATTAAACTGTAATTAAATGCTCTGAAAACATTTCCTTATTTTTAAATATGTCAAAATGCAAGTTTGGAATCTACAGACAGCAAAAGAGAACATTTTTAAATCAAGCTAATAATGGAAAATGTCTTCTGATTCTCGTATATAATGTAAAAACATTGCCCAAAACTGTTACTACTATAATACTGAAGAATCAAAAGATATCTTAATTAAATATAAAAATTTTTTAACATTTTAGTATGACTTGTATATTCAAACTTGGTCAAAATCCTAGTAGATATAGAAGGGGGATATACCTTATACTGATAGGTTGATTCAAATAATTAACCTTTAATGAGAGACTCTAAATATTTTGATAAAAATGACCATATGTTTTACTAGAATGTATAATCAATGAGTTAAAATACATGATCATGTACTTTATTTGGGCAATCTTAATTGAACTTGTTTCTTTCCTACTCACAGTAACTTCCTTCTTTATAACCACAGAATGACAAGAATCCCTGATTATACTATAAACCAAGATGAAAAATGTTTTAAAATATTTACCAGTAATTGCTATCATCTAAAATGTTAGGGCATACTCCATTCATAAAACATTAAGAAGTCCCCAGGCCACAGATTACATAGCACTCATCTATCTTGTGCATATATATAGTAAGCTACTAGCCACAGGTGGGTACTGAGCATTTGAAAGGTGTCTGTCTAGTCCAAATTGGTATGTGCTACAAGTATAACATACACAATGAACTTTAAAGACTTCATTTCAAAAATAGCAATAATAATATAAAATAGCTTATAAATAATTTTATATGTCAAATGGTCAGATTTTTACATTTACTTGCTAAATACAGTATTAAAATTAATTTACTCCCTTTTACTTTTTAAATGGAGCTAACTATAAAATGCAAAATTACCTATGTGGTTCACATTTATGACTGGCATTAAATCTCTATTAGCACTGATCCAGAAAGTCACCAAAGAAAAGAGCCAAACCTGAAAGCCATATCCATTTCCTCAGCCTGCAGCACAGCACCAACAATAGGCTGAACCAGGATGGCATCACCAGGCTTCACCCCCACATTCTTCTGTGCTATTTCATTCAGGCCAATTTTGCCTCCAGGAAATCCTGAAACAGGCCAGGCTGTATAGACCTGCCAAGAACACAGGAAACAAATAATTTAGAAAATAAATATTCACAGACAACCATCAATTAATAAGACAAAATATTAAGCACACCCAAGTACCTGGATCTGCAAAACACAGTACCTATGCAAAAAAAAAAGTTACCATCTGATACAAGTTGCAATAAAATAAACTACACTAAAAAAATAAATAAAATACTGCATGGGTTCACAAAAGAATTATTAATTTTTTTTTCAATTTTCTTAATGATTATATCCTTCTGTAAAGTTCAGAAATAATTCCATGGCAAAGATGATACCATTTGGAAGGTGGATTCAGGAAAAGAAATAAAACCTTCAACAGCTGATAAGAAAATGAGAAAAACACTGAAGGCAAGACAACTGGAAAACAAGTAACCCAGTCTAGAACATCAATGCTCTAGAAAGTAATGCTCCAGGAAGTTATGAAGGACAAGGCACAAGAGATTCTTTGGAGCCTGGATCTCATCAGATTTAAATGTTAAGTGAGAGCAGCAAAGATTTCTGGCTTAATATAGCAGAATGATCTCATACATTTATAGTCCTCTATTCTATAAGACATAATAAAGGATTTTTATAGGTATAAACCCAGAATAATGGAAAGAAAGAGAGCAATCAGCAAGCAAGAGATTTCAAAACATTTCCATAGAGGCTCCACAGTGAATGAAAGAACACTGGCTGATAAGCACACAGAAGAAACACAGCAGCAGGCAGAGTCAGTTGTTGTTGTTGTTGTTATGTGCTGTCGAGTCGGACCCGACTTATAGAGACCCCTCATTGGGTTTCAGAGGCAGTATCACTACAGAAGATTGCCCCATCTTCCTTCCAAGGAGTGGCTGGCGGGCTTGAACCGCCAGCCTTCTGGTTAGCAGTCAAGTGCCTTAGGCACTATGCTACCAGAGCTCCCCAGGGGTCAGTAGAAGGGAAGAAAGCCAAGTAACAAAAATTACCCAGGGAAGGCTCTGAGCTTGGGGTCTCAGGTCTGATGAATGGCAACAAGGAGAAAAACAGCTGGAAACAGGGATGTTGTTGTTAGGTTCCATCAAGTCAGCTCTGAGTCATAGCAACCCTGCATACACCAGAACAAAACACTGCCTGGTAATGCACCATCCCCACAATCCTTGTTACGTTTGTTTTAAAGGCAAGACAACTGGAAAACAAGTAACCCAGTCTAGAACATCAATGCTCTACACAGTAATGCTCCAGGAAGTTATGAAGGACAAGGCACAAGAGATTCCTTGGAGCCTGGATCTCATCAGACTTAAATGTTAAGTGAGAGTAGAAAAGATCCCCACAATTCCTTGTTATTTGTTTCAACCATTGTGTCACTCCATCCTGTTGAGGGCCTTCCCCTTTTTTGCCAACCCTCTACTTTACCAAGCATGATATCCTTCTCCAAGGAATGATCCCTTCAGACCACATGACCAAAGTAGGTGAGACGAAGTCTGGCCACTCTCGCTTCCACGGAGCATTCTGGCTGCACTTCTTCCAGGACAGATTTGTTTTGAAAACAGGGACAATAAGTGAGTATTTGTATATGGAAAAGGTGATCTTTGTACCCCAAAATAACATTTCTGTAAAGAAATGTAACTAATGGACTAGGCGAAATAGCACTTACAGTGTGTGTACCAGCACCATGAAAGGAAATTCCATTCTCTATGACACTTAGGAGCTACTCTCATCAAGAATCACTGGTACTGAAGGAAGAAGTCCAAGCTGCACTGAAGGAATTGGTGAAAAACAAGATTCCCAAAGTTGACAGAATACCAATTGAGATGGTATGACAAACAAATGCAACACTGGAAGTGTTCACTCATTTATGCCAAGAAATTTGGAAGACAGTTACCTGGTCAACCAACTGGAAGAAATTCATATTCATGCTCAAAGAAAAGTGATGAAATGGAATGTGAAAACTATCAAATAACATTATTAATATAACACACTAAGCAAAATTTTGCTGAAGATAATCAAAAAATGGCTACCGTCATACCGATGTATGAAGGGAACTGTCATACATACAGGGAACTGTCAAGAAGTTCAGGCTGGATTCAGAAGGGGATGTGGAACAAAGGATATGATTGCTGATGTCAGGTGGATCTAGCCATAAGCAGAAAATACCAAAAAGATTGTTTAAGTATGATTTATCAACTACACAAAGGCATTTGAATGTGTGGATCATGACAAATTAGGGATAACATTATGAAGAATGAGAATTCCAAAACGCCTAATTGTGCTCAATTCAGTACCTGTACATAGATCAAGAGGCAGTCATTTGAACACACCACCACCATACAACATTGTTATATGCCGTTGAGTCGGACCCGACTCATAGCGACCCCTCCTTGGGTTTCCGAGGCAGTATCACTACGGAAGTAGATTGCCCCATCTTCCTTCCAAGGAGTGGCTGGTGGGTTTGAACCGCCAGCCTTCTGGTTAGCAGTCAAGTACCTTAGGCACTATGCTACCAGAGCTCCCCCATACAACATACTGTATAGTTTAAACTTGGAAAAGGTGTGCAACAGGGTTATATTCTTTCACCTTACTTACTCAATCTGCATGCTAAGTAAATAATCCAAAAAGCCAGACTATATGAAGAACTTAATATCAAGATTAGAAGAAGACTCATTAACCACCTGAAATATGCAGGCGACACAACTTTGCTTGCTAAAATTAAAGATAACTTGAAGCACATATTGATGAAAGTCAAAGATCACAGTATTCAATATGGAGCTCTGGTGGCATACTGCCTAAGGCATTTAACTACTAACCAGAAGGGTGGCAGTTCAAACCCACCAGCCACTCCTCAGAAGGAAGACTGGGCAATCTACTTCTGTAGAAATACTACCTCAGAAACCTAGAGGGGTTGTTATGAGTCAAATCAACTCGATGGCAGCGAGTTTGATGTTTTGGTTTACACTTAAAAGTAAAGAAAGCAAACTCTTCACAACCAATAAATATCATAACAGAGAAAATACTGAAGTTGTCAAAGATTTCATTCAACTTGGATCAACAACCATGGAAGCAACAGTCAAGAAATCAAACAATGTATTGCACTGGGCAAAACTGCTGCAAAAGACCTCTTTAAAGTTCTAAAAAGCAAACATGTCACTGATGACAAAAGTGCACCTGACCCAAGGTCATTTCAATCACCTCATATGCATGCAAAAGCTGGACAATGATAAGGACAGAAGAAGAATATATGCATTCCAATTGTGACTTTAGCAAAGAATAGTGACTATATCACTAGGCTGCTATTTACTTAGCATACAGATTGAGTAAGTGATAGACTGCCAGAAGAACAAATAAATCAGTCTTAAACGAAATATTACCAAAGCAAGGATGGTGAAATTTTGTCTTGATTACTTTGGACACATTAAGAAAGACCCATCGCTAGAAAAAGACATTATGTTTGGTAGAAGCTTGGCGAAAATGAGAAAAACTCTTAATGAGAGGTAATGACACATTAGCTTCAACAATGAGCTCATACAGATCAAAGGTCATGGAGATGGCACAAGATTGGGCAACATTTCATTCTGTTGTATGTGGGGTCACCAGGAGGCAAAGCCAATTCAACAGCAACTAACAACAACATACCTAGGGTAGTCATAGACATCAAGAGAAGAAACAGTTTGAGTGTCATTTAAAATACAGATCATTTCCCATTTATTCTTGTTTGTGTTGAAAAACTAAGAAACATCTCAAATATTTCTAAAGGAAATGAAAAAGGACTCTTACCTCCTGCTTTCCATTCAAACTGGTAAGCAACACTGGCCGACCTATACATATATTTGCAGACTTCATAGTGTTGAGTCCAAATTGAACAAGGGAATTCCGGAACGTTTTAGGAACTCTGTCATCTTCATGAAGAAAAAGAAAATTATTATTGTACTACTTTGTAAATGAGGTGAATGCTTACTTTCTTTTAAAATTTCCTACCTATATAACCATATGAATGTACTTACCATACCCTGGAGAAACCACTGTTCCAATCCTCCTTATTTTAAAAAAAGGATACAAAACAAACATTTTTGGAGGTTCACTGACAATATGAGTACTAACTAAATATGAGATTTTTGCTTTATAGGCAAGTATTAGTTTTCATTATTATTATTAATCTCTAATTCCTTAAAGAACTAAATATACTTACAATGATTTCTAAGCTTTCCTGGGAGTCCCTGGGTGGCACGAATGATTAAGTGCTTGACAACTAGCTGAAAGATTGGTGGTTCAAACCCACAGAAAAGCATCTCAGAAGATAGGCCTGGCAATCTGCTTCTGAAAAGTTACAGCCTAGAGAGTCTTCTACTCTGCACACAAGGGGTTGTTGACAAGTGTCAGAATCAACTTGATGACTGCTACTATCACCATCAACAGTAAAGATTCTAAATCAAGTCTGCTACTATTATTCATAGACTTGAACTGGGGAATTGAATTCTCCTCCCTTTTCAAAAGGGAAGCATCTCTAGCTCTCAAGAATTAAGTAGTGGCATAGTGCCTCAGGCATATGACTGCTAACCAGAAGGATGGCAGATCAAACCCACCAGTGACTCCTTGGAAGGAAGACTGGGCAATCTACTTCCATAGAGATACAGCCTCAGAAAGCCAAGGAGGGTCACTGCGAGTAGGAACCAACCTGACGGCAGTGAGTTTGGTTTTTTTTTTTTATTCTCAAGAATATGTAGACATAGGAAGCTGCCATCTAGATGCAACAACGGGTCTCTCCTCGTCAAGAAGAAAGAAGAAAACCAAAATTAATGGAAACAATCAGTCTAGCGACTGGTACACCATCCGATCTGCAACCTATACAACTATGAGACCAGAAGAACTAGATGG